TAAAAAATACCACTATTTTACTATTTATTGCAAATATTTTAACACAACCGTAGTAAAAAAAAAGTGGTTTCACAGTGGAGGCTTGTATTTGTACTAAGTCGGTCCTAAAATAGGTTCGACGTACAAAACGTTAGGAACTTGATATAATAGGTAACGACACAGAGAAATCTAGTGGTGGTCGCTGATACTTTTAGTATCCAACTAACGGTCGTCTGACATTGACTGACTGACCAACTCCCTGAGCCACTTCCTACTACTCCTACTTATTATAGGTGGGACAGTCTATTAACTATAGAATAGGTGTGTTCCACCATAACAATTATAACCAAGCTTGAGGGACCCTAGGCTGTGGCCTATATGATAATCCAGCCCTGGTCTTATACATAAACAAGTGAAATACTAGTATAACGTTTCACTTAAAAATTTGAAGTTACATCGATTCCATAATAATTTGGAACAAAAGGTTCAAGATTGATACAAGGGAAGTAACTCTTCTTTTAATTTACAGAAAAATATTTATGTAATGCAACTAAAAAAAAAAAAAAGTTTACCTAATATATTGGGTTGTCCGGAAAGTTCATGCCAATTTTTAAGGGAAATTAAAACATAAAATTATTCCATTAAATATTTATTCAACTAAATATGAACCATTTTGTTGCACAACTTTTCTCCATTTTTCCTTCAATGTAAAGATTCCATCTTCCCAGAATTTCTGTGGTTTCTTGGCAAAGAACTCATTAAGGTGTTTTTTTTTATGTCATCCAAAGAATTAAAATTTTTACCATTGAGATTATTTTGCAAGGAGTTTAATAAATGAAAATCTGAAGGATCAATGTCTGGTGAATATGGTAGGTGGGGTAACACATCCCAGCCAAGCTGTAACAAATTCTGCAGTAATTTAAAACTTTCTTTTTGCAAGAGAGAGTTTGAAGTGTGCTCTAATCGGAAATGTCAGCATATTATATCTGTTGATAAATTTAACGTGTTGGAACATAAACAACTAAAAATCGGCATGAACTTTCCAGACAACTCAATATATCTATCACTCACTGTAGTGAAAGAGATAATCAGGTACCTCGGAAAAAAGTTTGTGTTTTGTTGCGATCTGCCGAAGTTTGATTACCAAAAAGTAGTCAGCAAAAATCTTATAAATGAAGAAAAGAGCGGAAATTACCTCGTCGACCCCAATAATTTATCAAACTCTTGCTCAGCGTTTATTCTGTGACGGAAAAAAAAAACAAGTCCGTCGCAGGAGTAACTATAAGAACATATTGATATGCAAATTACGGAGCATCCTATCCCAGCTGTCAACGAATGAAAAAAATAGGTTCTGCCGATAAAAGCAGTTGGTGTTCTCGATTCAGAGGAAGGAAAATTCGGCATTTTTGGCTATGGCGTTTGTTGGAGTGTGAGTTAAAACTTCCTGACTGGTTACACGAATTGTGATTTAAGATAGTAAATGCGAATCAATTTTCAGCATTTCTTTTCTGCCCCGATATTCGAGTCTGTACTTAGTGATTTTTCTTTGTGTTGTTGTGAAAGTAATCTGCGACAAATTTGCTTTGAGAATGCTTACACTTACACTCACCTTGTTTTCAAAGTTTTTTTTTTAAATTTTAAATATATTTTTAAGCAAATATATGATTTTTTTTTTTAATGCCATGTCCCTTCATGGTGACCATGATTTCCCACAAATTCCTTTTCTTTAGTATCTGTTAATTACCATAATTGTTCTTAAAAAAGATAGTGATTTTCCATTTCATTCTCTACGGTTTTGGAATTTATTTTTCCTTCTCTTAGGTTGGTTGCTACCCAAGGATAAGTCCAGTCTACTCTGCTATCTAACCCATAATTACATGGGAGAAGAGAGGAATTCATGTCTTTCTCAAGGGAACTACTTCAAAATGAATGCAACAGACTAGGATAGGATTTGAACTCGACTTGCTAATTTCACTTTCTGTACCAATAACCATTTAGAATCACATAACGAGAACCATCTGTCAGTAATACTAATATTTGTGCCAAAACAACCAAAATATTTTTAACAGTCTTTCACACCTCAATACATTTATCATCAAGGTGATAACGATATTGATAGGTATCACCTTGGTTATCATCTAATTAAATGATAATGTATTGAATTCTAGCATTTGAACAGATAAGTGTATGATAATGTATTGATAACTGAATAATAATTTATTGAATTCTAGTCTTTGAACAATTTTATTTCTATGAGAGCAAAGAGATTATCAATGTTATTAAATGTTTTAAAAATAAATACACAGAAAAAAAATGTGAAACTAATGTTTTATCAAAGAATTAAAAAATTATTATTATTATTATTAGAATTACAGTCAGACCTGTTTAATTAGGCACCCTTATGACAAGGCCAATGTTGGACCACAGAAATCAACTCTAAAAATCCCTTATATAAATAGTCTTGCCATAAATAAGTGCAAATGTGTGTCACACTTTTTCAACTTTACTCCTAGAAGGCGTAGCCAAACATATTATACCATTTTGGAATCAGGCTGACTTTGTGAGAAAATTAAAAATATTTTGAGCTGGATCTGGACCGGCAATCCTGAAATTTTGGATTCCCATGTTTTCATTACTGCGACTGTTTTTCAACAATTTCTTTACATGATTTTTTGTGACAAATTTTTTTGTATAACAATTTTTATAACTTGGAAATAAATTTGAGAATAATTGAAGTTGATTGTGAAATTCAGTCATGAAATAAAAATAATTGTTTGTATGGAAAGTAAGGATTGTCTTTAAATTAAGTGGTGGCAGAAGAATTATCATTGAAATCTTAAAAGGGAGGCTTAAATATTAATGCAATACTGCAGTGATCAATTTTGAGTTCTTGTGTAGTTTGTTACCTATCAACATATATAGCAGTATGCCTATCAAAAAGAAAAAAACATGCCAACAGAGGACCAGATTAAAATCAAAAGAGCCAAGGCTGTGCAGGGGAAGAAAAAAAGTCCCATGCAAAATGAAAACCCAGATCAAACTATATCCAGAGAAGAGAAATGCTAAGAATATGTAAATGACAGGGACTCTCAAACTCCTAAACAAGCTGAAGGCTCAATGAACAACCCCATGCAAGAGCTAAATGCCATTTTTAATAATAGGTGGCTTTTGAAAGCCTAGTTCCATATATTTTCATTTCAGCTTTTTCTCTAAAAGTCTGATGATCCAGAACCCTGTTAATGGGGTTTTGGTGAAATAACTTATTACATGGAATCTTAACGTGGTCTGTCTTTTTTTTCAAACATATCTGCTCTGAATTTTACATTGAGCTCTCTGGTTGCAATGCCATCCTCCTTAGGTCTACCCAAACGGATTACCTAAATTTGCATAAACTATATATGTTGAATTTACAGAATAAAGAGAATCTTCCATGTAAATTCGAACTTTTTGTTAAAAAAAAATTTTGGCCGAGGGTTAGGCACGTAAATGATTTAATTATATTTATATATATATATATATATATATATATATATATATATATATATATATGTGTGTGTGTGTGTGTGTGTGTGTGGATGATCCTGCTCCCAACCTTTTACCACTATAATCAAATCTCATAATTATCTGTCGGGTTGTCGAATCCTGGGAACTGATCTGCTTGACCCTCATATTCAAATTCAACGGGAGAGCAAATAATATATATATAATATAATATATGAATGTTATATATATATATATATATATATATATATATATATATATATATATATATATATATCTATATGAAGAGCTAGCTTAAATGCCACCCAATATATATTGCTCTGTTATCAAAAGTTTAAAACAGGAAATAAAACTATCCTGAATGCTTCTAAACAAGGTTTTTATTGTTTTATGCAAGACAAAGCCTAAAAAAGCCTAAAACCAAAAAATAATATCTATTTATCTTGAATGAGTAAATATGCATCTATATATAAGAAGTGAGCAAGACCATATCACCAAAACACCCTGCTACTCTTGGTTGCAGAAGTTGTAAACTGTGTTGAGCTGCCCTTGTAGCTGCTCACCAAACTAATGTCAGCTCATTCAAAAAAAAATGTCAAATCATGGGGATTATCAGATTAAAGTGGTCGAACTGTATCATTATTATTGTTGTTGTTGTCATCATCATCATCATGATTATTATTATTATTATTATTATAATACTACACTGACTTATTCAGATTAGTGTCTCCATCTTAATTGTCGTAGTTATGCTTCAGTGTTGTACCTGCCAAATTTTTTCAGGTGTTTTTTCTACAAGAAATTTTGAACAGAACACTTTCAAATCAACAAGGATAATTGTTTCCATTCCACTCTCATTGTTTGAGGATATCATGTATGAGAAGATAGTGCTGAAAAGTTCTCAGCTTGATCCATTTCCAAAAATCTGACCAAACATCAGGATTGCATGGAATCCCTTCTTAGTCAGGCTGAAAATTTTTCAACTGTACTTCATAATTAATTCTTATTTACCCATTGAACTGGAGCATATTTATTATTTCATTGCCTAACTCAGGAATTGAACTCACAGCCACAAGGTAATCAATACTTTTTACCCATTAAGCCATGAACCCTAGAACAAGTAAGGGAATTTTAGAGAAACCTTGTCTGTTTCTTTAGTCAAAGGCTCCTATAATGGTGCTCAATTCTATGCTTGGTCTGCTGAAAGAGTTATTATAGAAAATGAAAAATTGTTATCTAATACTTCAAGAATAAATTCTTTAAATAAATGATAAATTCCAAGAAAATAATAATAATAAAAAAAAGAAGTTTGGAGAATGGAGAATTTTAGACAAGCCTTAAATGTTTTAAAAATGTATTTTTATATAATGTTTATATATATAGTGTTTTATTTTTAATGTTTATATAAAGTGTTTGATTTTTAATGTTTATAGTGTTTCATTTTTAATGTTTATATATAGTATTTTATTTTTAATTCACAATTTAAACAAGAATATTATAGATAAAGAAAACATAGTCACTTTTTTGGGGACAGGTATCACATTCCTATGCCTGGAAACTGGTTTCTTGGAGGACATTTCCATTGGTCTGAAATGAATAAAGAATGTTGCTATTGAAAGCAAAGACAAAAAATTATGACTGCAAAGAAAAATCATATAAGAAATAGCAAGAGAAACAAAAAATGAAGGAAAAAATTAATTCAAATGAAACTTGTCATTTGAATATTTTTGATGGCTAATGACATCTATGTGTACTGTTGCTATAGCTGTATTATGGTTCTATACTAACTGGAACAATGCCTGGGGTGTTCTTGAAGGTCTGAGCACCATCTGGAAGTCCTCCCTCTCTGACAATCTTAAGAGGGACTTCTTTAAGGCCATGGGAGAATTTGTCTTGCTCTATGACTCAACAACATGGACATTGATGAAACACCAAGAAGCATCACTTGACGGAACATACACAAGGATGTTACAAGTTGTATTGAACATCACCTAGAAGAAACACCCAACAAAGAAACACCAATATGAACACCTTCCTCCTATCTCAGTTTCGCTAAGAGAGAGAAGGCTTCGTCTAGTTGGTCATTCCTGGAGAAGTAAGTCAGAACTTGTGAGTGACACCCTCCTATGGAACCCATTGTGTGGTGAAAGATCAGTAGGAATACCTCATCACACCTACATTGACCAACTTGTAGATGACCCTGGATGCCATCTGGGGGACCTGCCGACAGTGATGTCTGATAGAAATGGTTGGAAGGAACGAGTCAGGAGAATGAGAAGAATTCTCAACTTGATGATTATGAAATGAAACCTATATTAATTTGCATATTTTCTATCATCATTTTCCTGTTTATTGTTTCAAAAATATCTTTTGATTTCTATAGGCAATATCAAGAAAAATATTTTAAATAAATTTATTAGTAAAATAAATTTAATATTGAAATATGCAGTGACAAAAAAAAAAAAAAAAAAAAAAAAAACAGACAAAACATGCAACTTAGACAACAGGAAAAATCTTTTTAATATCAATAATGGTTGCCTATAGTGTCTGGAGAAATATTATATTACCAAATGCCTCAACTCTACAAATAAGACAACAGAACATTTTTCAAACATTTTTGAGAAAAAAGTAGCCATATATGCCACAAATATGGTTCTTACTTAGTTTTATTTAATGTTTACAAATTTATTTTAAATTGTTATGTCCCTTCAGGGCATAGGCACTTATGGCTCTCCACAAGTTCCTTTTCTTTATTATCTGTGAATTGCCATGATTTCTTGGGAGAGACAATAATAGTGATTTCCTTTTGCATATGGCATGATTTTGAATTCAAAGTTGTTCTCCTAGCCTGGTTGCCACCAAATGCTAGAACACCCAGTCTAAGCTGCTAGTTAAACCAATAGTTGGGGAAAGGGATAGATGGATTCATGCCTTTTCCAAGGGTATTTGTGCAAAAGTTGGTTATGACTGCCAGACTCCCCCCTCCTCAAATTTATAGACAAATCAAACAGATGCATGCTGGGATTTCTTTCTAGCCAATAATAAAGATCATTTCTCAATCTCACTTACATTATTCTTGTTCTTTCTTGTCTTGAAGTCAGAACACTGCAATCACTTGTCTGTACCCCTTTGTGCGTTAACACAATTCATAGTTAGTGAACTTTTTTGTCTCATAATTGCTTTGCTAACTTTTGTCTTGCATATATTGTTTGCTTAGTTTTATTTTTGCCCTGTTCTTTTTTCTTTCTCTTTTATTGCAAATTTTGTCAATTATTTTTTGGGGCATTTCTGCTAATTACATTTAACCATGACCAATTACTCTATAGAATGCAACAGATTATGCCAGAATTTGAACTTGTCTTGCCAATTCCACACTGACAACCACTACACTACATACTTGTCCCTAAAGCTTTTCTACAGATGACAAAAATAAGCTTACCTGTTTTTGTTTTCTCTTTGAAATTTTTTCTTCTTTGCTTTTCCAGATTTGTGATAAATTTTGTTGAACCTGCATAAAGAAATTTAATTCAATGTTTTTTTCACTCATTAAAAAAGAGGATTATTCTCTTTGTATAAATTTCTCCAAGAGTAAAAATATGTTCATACACAGCCTGATACAGTAATTAGCTAAATTTTGGTCTGAGATTTTCAATCTATAATGTTCAGTCCATGTGATCTATAAAAAAGTGTTCAGTTGAGTGTATTGACAAAAATTATGTTGAAAAATAAATACTTGTGGTTTGGTTTTTAAATGTATTGCTGGTAATAATTTTTTTACAAAAATGTATTGCTGGTGCTAAAACCTATTTGACCCCTTTGGGGAGGGTTAACTATTTATCCACAGCTGGGACCATGACAGCTGCTACCACCCCAGGTCAGGGTGAACCTGGGAACACCAGCAATTAAGAGGTGGTTCCAGGCTCCTCAAAACATTCTGATCAAAGGCCTTGCTGTTGTCGAATGTAGTTTATCATCATACCCAGGATGGTAATACTTGTGTTATAAAATAAATTATTTTTTTTCAATCATGAAGCTACAGATTTATTGACAAACTGATGTAAAACAACAGGATTTTAAAAGACAAATTCAAAACTTAACCTTTCTAAATCTAAAACTGAAATGTTCACTTAAAAGATAAATAACTATTCTAAAATTACATATGTGAGTCAGGGGTGAAAGGTCCATGTAAGCAATGCATGCTTTACACTTTTCCCCAGGATAAATAATTTTGTATAATATAAAATTAATTATTGATAATTTTCATTATCCTCTTTGTACTTGGATTTTTTTGTATTTCCCATTCCTTAGTGATATTATTCAGGGAATGTAAGTAGAGAAAACGTTTGTTGTTTAGTGAGAAAAGATGCAAGTAAAAGCAATGGATTTACTAGCCTTTTTAGTAGGAAGCATGAGAGACAGAACATAATAGTGAGTGGGTGAAAGAGAGACAGTCACCAAAAAGCAGAAATTCTTTTACTTGTGTTAGAAAAAGTTGTGGCTTTAGCCTTCCCAGTTTTATTATTCCCTTCAAACTGGGTGCATGTAAAAGAGAGACAGAATAATAAAGTGTGTGTCACAGAGAGAAAGCCACCAAAAAGCATAAATTCTTTTACTTACTTTCCAGCCATATTAAGCCAGCAGACACTTTCTATTGAAATAATGATGTTTTATTGTGTGTGGCTGAAATCAAAGACTTGCCTATTCAAAAGAATTATAGTCGGACAGATTTAGACAAAAAATCTGTATTATTTGGTTCTGAACCAAATACAGAATCTGTATATGGAATGTCTGATGACTTTAGTGTCACATCAAAAATTCTTTTTTTTTTTACTGACTTTTAAAAAATTTTAATCATGAAGAGTATACTTGACCACTTCTTAAGACCCAGATTCAGTCATGTGACCATTACCCAGAAAGTTTTTGATCAATTCATATGGGGAGTGAAAAAGAGCAACTGGCAAAGTCTATTTTTTGTGATTAAAAATTTTCATCCATTTTAATGCCTTAAGATTTAATTTTAAATGTTCAAAATTATCTTTTTAAAGTTATGTAAAAAGATTTCTTGATAGTATTGTATATTATTTCATTAAACATGTTAAATTTTGTTAAAGGACATTTTAAAAAATTCACTGCAATATCTAATTTTAAAATTAAATTAAAAGTATTTAAATTCATATTTCATGTATTAGTATTGGTGTTATTTTAAAGAAAAGTTGAACTTTATTTTATAAAAAACATTTTGGCAATAAAAACAATATTAATTTATGTCAAAATTAAGAATTTTCATTTTTCCAGTCATCAATCAACACCATTTTCGGCTGTCAAGCGATAACAAACTAATTTAAACATTTCTTAAAAATTAAAATAAAATTGTGTACATCTGATTCTGACAATACCTGCCACATCTGCTTCTTGTGAGAGATTGTTTTCTTCACTAAAACAACGTGTAAATAATTATATGAGGTGTTCCCAAAGTGAAGAGTGATTAAGTAATTTGGTTTTCATTTTCATGAATAAAGACCTTTTGAAGAAGATGAAGGTAAAGGGTGGGGTGCTGATACTTTTTACAACAAAGTGATCAATGAATTTGCCAGAAAGAAATGAACACTTGAATTGATTTACAAATAAATTTTAATAACTCATTATTTTTAGGTTTTATTATTTTCTCTCATAACCATTAACAGTCATCATCATCATCAGGATATTAGTAAAGGGGAGAGGACTATTAAGTCCAGTGGAGAAGGGTATCAGGTCTGAAGCAGACCCTGTTGGTAGAAGTGTATTTTCTCACGATAAAATTAGTTCACATTACATTCGCTGATTTGGGGGGGGCAAATAATTATCCGGGAGGTACAGAGTGAGGTTCTCTTTTTCCCTCTCCACCTTGGCAATTAGCCTGCAAAATGGACTGCATGCTCTGTTTCCCAAGTCACCCTTCGTCACTGATGCAAGTATGTAATAATTGGTTTGGTTTGTTTTGTTTTACTGCATATCAACCTCAATGGGTTATTTAATGCCGACAAGATTTTTATTGCTGGTAATATGTTTTTTAAAAATGTATTGCTGGTAATATTTTTTCTTCAAAAATGTATTGCTACCATTAAAACCTATTTTTACACTTTTATAGTGTTTTGACTCCAGTTTAACTTATTGCCCATAGTTGGGACCCTAATAGGAGCCAACCACCCTGAGTCAGGGTGAACATGGGAACACCCGCAATTAAGAGGTTGTTCCATGCTCCTCAAAACCTCCTGATCAGAGGCCTTGCTGTTGGATATAATTTATTGTCTTACCTAGGATGCGGATGTACTTTATCATCATACCCAGGATGCCACAGTTGGGGTGGGGGAGTCTTGTTTTACCCCTTTGCAGAGGTGCAGCCGGTGTACTCTGAAGCCCCAGCTGACAGGGTGAATGGCATAATTGTTACTCAAATGTACAAGAGTCAGTCAAAAAGTAATACCTGCTTTTTTTTATTTATTTTTTTTTTAATTTGAACAGTTTTAATAGTAGCACACAAAACATACTAAAATGAACACAAAAATCACAGGATTCCAGATCTCATCCTCAACATAGTTTCTTAACTTTCAAATTCTGGTACAAGAGTTAGTCAAAAAGTAATGCCTGTTCTTTTTTAAATCATTGTGTATATATATGCTTACAATTTTGCTAGAAATATCAATTTTGACCCTAATTAACTTATGATAATCTCTAATAACCTCAGAAGTCAGCAGTACCTATCCCATGTTCTGCCTAGAGTCAAATTACTCTTATAAAATAATTTTCAGCCCCAATTACTGGCTTTATAATAACAAATAATTATTTTGTCTCTTTTCTAATACTAATGTCAAAAATATTACAAGATCAAAACTTACATATTAATTCCAACTTTGTCTTTAAATTTTTGCAATTCTTCAAAAGTCATCTCAGATAATTCTGTCAAATATAAAATAAAAATGAAAAGAAAACAGAATCTAACAAATGAACAATGCAGATATTCTTGGGGTTTGGAAAATTTTAAATTAAAATAACATTCATTGATATTTACTGAACTCTTGTTCATTTCATATACATTTAGGGGCTACTGTCTATATCTTAGTTGTTTTTAACAGTGTGTGCTGGCCAATAAATTCTTTGGCTTTCCCCAGGACTGCTGTATCCGGTCCTTAAAATTGACTTCAAAATTTTGAAAAATATGGAACTGAAATTATTTCATATTAGAAAATAATTAAACTTTTATGTGCTATAATAAAATTAATCATTATTTACACTTTTTCCTTTTTTTTTTAAAATACCTTATCCCTTCAGGAAATAGGCCATCATGGCTCTCCACAGATTTCATTCCTTTATTATCTAAATTGTCATGACTTCTTGGGAAAGATAGTGGAGTAGTTTCCCATCGTCTTCTCCACAGATTTTTTTAAAACTAGAATTTTTTTGCAACACATTGATGCGTGTATTTAGTATTGTTGAAGTTATCGCTAACATTTTTAAGATTTATAAACTCTATGTTTCATTCAATTTTGCAAACTAATTGATGAAATTTGAATAAGCTGATTTGTTTGAAAAATACTTTGACAAAAACTCTACTTCACAGTTTAATAATTTCTTTAATTTTATAGGACTTCATAGTAAACAATATATTTTAAGGAAACTTTTTTTTTTCCTTTTTAACAGTGAAGAATAAATTCTTAAGATTTCTTACTTTTGAGCATGCAACATACAACTGGCCATGCATAAATATATTTTTCTAGGGCCAAATTCTAACTTTTGAAGCATTTGACCTTGTGATTTGTTTATAGTTATTGCAAATGCAGGGTAAACTGGATTTTTGTATATAAAAACTTAAAGATATGCAAAAAACAATATTGCATTTTTATTAAATAAGTATTTGTTATTTTAATCATTAAATTGCTTTTAAAATAGGAGTATTTTGTATGTTAATGAAAATTTATGGTACTAAGCAAAACCAGTAAAACCAATTATACTTGGTATCCTTGACCTGTTTGTACTTCTCCCCAAAATTTAGTTTTGATCAGTCAATGTGTGGCTATTTTAGAAGGTGTGACAGATGAACTAACGGAAATCAAAGAATTTTATATATAGATTCAAATTTGTCCTTCTCTTAAACTGGTTGCCATGAAAGAGTTGAGAGCTCCAGTCTGTCTTGCAATTTATATAAAAATTTTATTTTTATTATTTTAAAAATGTTAACATTGTTTAAATATTTCATTGTCTAGGTTTTTTTTAATAAACATTTTTTAGAGAAGTGTATTTTTATGAAAGCCAGACGGTTTGTGTAAAAATTGTTACATTCTTTTATGACCTTTTTGGCTCAACAGTTGAAACCCACCAAATTTTGTGAAAGATCCATTTCCAGTTTATGGAAAATTAATTTTCAATAAACCAATGAGAGATGTGTTCTCAAGCACTTGTAATATCCCAAATAGTGGGGCAAGTGTGAGCCTAATTTTTAAAATAAATAGTGCTCAGGCCAGTAGATGTGAGAAGAAGACTTTTGACAGCAAGAGGAGAAGGCAGATCATCAACATCAAAGGTGGCACCAGTTACCAGCCAGCTGCAGAAAGACCATAAGTGAAAATTTTTTTTGGACAGCCAGGAATGAAAAGATTTCTAAGAAATTTTCCCAAGTACAAACTATGTGAAGTTAAAAAGGATTCTTAACATTAGTGTGTCCCAGAAACACTCAAGGGGTCAGTGAAAGTAAGTCTTTTAATGCTGCACATTTTTTTTTTTTTTTTTTTTACAGCCTTCTTGCATTGTTTTTCTCTTTTTGTTATTTTCAAAATCCTTGTCTTTTTCTAAGCTGTAAGTTTTTCCATTTTTTGCTAGTAATCCTTTTAACAGAAATTGTTATCCTGCCTTAATAGGCACACAAAAGGGAATTTTTGTGCAAACTTTGTACCTTTTTTTGTAATTGTAAATATGTTTTGTTCCTTTTAAAATTTTATGCAGTTGTCCAGTGTTGTTTTGTAATTGTGTGCCCATTATGATTTACTATTCTGACTAGACTAAGTTCTTGTGTCTGACACAAGAACTTAGATTTGGTAGGGAATAAAATTTTTATATTTAATCTAAAGCTGAAAGGAGCAGTTATACTTTTCCAAAGAGTATTAGTGCAAAAGTGAACACAATGAATAATTCGATAGATTTAAGTTGGAATTTAAATTCAGCTTATTGATTTCACTTCCCACACTGATAACGATCATTACATTTAACTCACATATCCTATTTACTCTTAGAAAAGCTTTACAAACTAATTATGAAAAAAAGCTGAACTTCAATATAGCAAATTGTGGAAAAATTGACAGTTCAGGTGGGAGGAGTAAGGTACTTACCTGGGTTGTTCTGGTCGACTAAAAGCCGTTACCTTTTTTTTTTTACCAATTTTTTATAGTTACAAGGTCTTGTGACTTATCATGTGATCACTGAAGTGGTTATAAAAGAAATGTTTTTTTCCTCTTTTTTTTACCCTATGCAAATTATCTAACAGAGAAGCTACGTTGCAGAAATAGATATTTTTTTTGCAACTTAAGGTAAGTAGCTTTGCTCATTTCCCAAGCCTGCACTGTCACAGATTGGGGGGGGGTGAGATTTTCAACAAAATGTAGAGAGAAAATAATTTAATTACCTTTGTGAATCTCCTCCTGAGATCAGGAATGGTTTTCAAAAAAAGAAGAAAAATATACAGTAAAAATATGTAGTTACAGTAAAAATAGAATAATATTAAAAAAAATTCAAATTAACAAAACAAATCAAAATGTTACAGTACAGTGGTTTTATTTATTATTTTTACTTAACATCTGAAAGAGACAATTGAAATTTATAAAGAAAGAGGGCTTGGAAAATTTGACACTCACAGGACATATTGAAGAAAACAGGAAAACAGCACATAAGCTACCTAGCAAGCTTATATAAATGGGTGGCAGAAGAGAATTTAGGAGATATAACAAAAAGAGAAAATTTACTAAGAGCTATGAAAAGGACAGGAAATTGTGGAGAGCCACGATCATCAATGTCCTGAATGGGCAGACCATATAAAAGAAGAATTTTAGCTGAATCTAGTATTACTTACAGAGGCACAGTGGAGTAATAGCGACTCAGATTGAGGAATCAGACAGCCGACTTCGAATTCCAGTTGAATCCATTACATTCACTTACGTGCTAATACCCTTGGGAAAGGTATGAATCCTCTTGGATGACAACTGGTCTACTGCAGGAAAAATCTGCCTCGTCAGTCATGTATCGAAAGATACATGATCGCCTAAGAGTGTATCATGCATGGCACATAGGGTTAACAAATTCTCAAGCTGCGAACTTTATTTTATGTTTTTTTACTTTTTAAAATGAAAGTGAATTAAAAAAACCTCTTAACTTCGTTTTATGGTTAAATTTTTTTATTTTTTTTTTTTTTTACTAATTTATGTATCTCCATGTTAATAATAAAAAGGGGAAAAATAGTCGCTAGAGAGATTCTCTTAATTTAGAAAAAATATAAACAAAAAAAAAAAAAAAAACTAAACAAAGCAACTTGGGTAATTCCCGAGGGAATATTTATGTAAAGAAAATAAATAAAACGTGAATTTTTTAACCAGTTATATCAGTGAATGAATGATGAGATTGTTGATTATTAAAGCTTAGCTGAGTTTTTTGTTACAAGATCACAAGGATCGAATTCATTCAGTAGTAAAAGATGGTCATCCAAATTCGCTGAAGTGAATGTGAATGAATGTGCGGTAAATTTTGGTTTTGTTTCCCGAGCGCTAATATCCCTTAATTTTTCCAAAATCGTCATAATTCCGTGCAAATGTACATGCTGAACTTGAATTAACAATCAAATTATGAAGAAACCTTACCGTTTTGGAGTTATCGACAAGAAAAAAATCGGACTTCTTGTTGGTCATTAGTCCCTCATTACTGCCATCATGATTACTGTTTCACTGCGTCGTACCTACGCTGGCCTAATCAGAAAATTTGGCCTATTTACTTACTTTCCTTGCAGAAAATCACTACGCACTACCGTAAAGAAAACTTCCTTTTTTTTTTTTTTTTTTTCTCCTTCTTTTTTTGGTAAGTGTAGTTTTATTTATAACAAAAACAAATTTGCACGGAATTATGACAATTTTGGAAAATTTTAAGGGATTTTTAGTGCTCGGGAAATAAAACCAAAATTTACCAAATGGCTATTGCTCATTTTATTTTTAATGCAATAGAGAGGATGAACAGTTGGCAAGAGAAATTTTTAATAAAAACTAAAAAAAAAAAAACAAAATCAAAAGGAAATTATAATAAAATAAAATTAGATGACGCAATATCCGATTTATTTGGGTAAATTGCAAATACTATAACTAATAAAAAAAAAAAAACTAGTAACTTCAATGTTGAAAAAAAAGTTTTGAACCATAAAGAACATAAAATAACAAACGAAACTAAAACTTTTTTCTGTTGTTTCTTTTAAAGTAAGAGGAAAACGCATACAGATTCCAGAAAACTAAAAAAGCACATCTCTATTCCTTAAAAAAAATTATTTTAACCACTCATAGCCAATGAGGATCGAACCCAAACAGGCTTGTTGGTCATTACACAAGAAGCATTAATTATTCAGGTAAATATATTTCACAACTGATGGCACGTGAAAAAAAAAATATATTCGGTAAAAATGTTAAATAAATGAATCCTTATCACAAATTACTTACCATATTTACATCCGATATTGACACGTGCTACAGATAATTCTAATTATCCCCCTTTACTATCCCTTACGTTATAAATAAATAAAAAGTAGAACTATTTTTATACTATCATTATAATCTAATAAACCGATTTAAAATACAGGAAATACAGATGTAAATATTTTAATCGCCTAAACAGGATTGGTATTTTCAAGATGAACATCGTTTCTGCCAAATGTGCTAATTTACGTAAGCGACTCGAAAGGAGTTTTCGCGGGAGATGCAATGTTTTCAGATAGGTGGAGTAAATAAGAAAGAAAGAAGAAATGTTGGCTTCAAAAGCTTTTGAGCTGATTAAAGAACTCAGCAGAGGTAATTCAGGCAGTCTATCACCGTATAATGTAAGTAAAAGAAAGAAAATATAGTTCTCTATGAAAATAAAAAAGACGTTTTAACAAAGTCTCAAAGCAAAAGGAGTATTTTTTTTTTTCATTCAAACCATTTTTTTTTACTCTTTAAAGTTTCTATTCTAAAACCCATTTAGTTTTGGGATGAGCGATTTTTAATATAATTCATTTTAAAATTTTTACATCTTGATAGCTTTTAATCATTGAAAAAAATAAACCTTTGCAAAATAACAATTATTCTCCCAAAGCAATAACGATGCGAAACAATAGGGAAAAAATGTGATTTGATCCAGTTGCAGACATTTTTGTTCATTATTTTATTATCAATGTTTTTTAATTAAAAAAATACGATCTTACAAAAAATAAAAATGTTTTTTTTTTTTTGTTGTTTTGTTTTTGTTTTTTTTTGCAAAATTTATGTGCAATATGGTGTAGTCTGGATGACAGAACAAGTTTAGTAAATTCATAAGAGTAAGAATTACACACCAACGAAAAGTAGGAAGTTGTGGAGAGTTATAGTCGCCTATGGCTTTTTTGGGGTATGGAAACTGGGGGGAAAGAGATAGTCTAAGTAGGGTTACCAATTACCATACATCCAAGTTTGGTCTTTGTCTGGCACACCGGTCACTGAAAATGATGCAAGAGCCCATTCCAAATTGTATTCATGGATTTTGTTGTGATACCTGTCAGTAGTTCATCCTTGCTATCTTCAGTTGACATTTAACAGCCTTGCCATGAGATATGCAATAGATACCACTGACGGGCTTTACTGTTTCTTTCTCCACCACTAAGAAATACCCACATCATATTTTTGACTATTGTACACACTTTACTAGAAAGGTTTACAGAATGGTTTGCAAATTCTTGATAAAACAAGAACTCCAGTGTCCCTGGCAACTACAGAATTCCAGCAACAACATCATACAATAAAGAACACGTGTTCAAAGACAAAAACTATGAATGGACTGATATTCTTAAACGTGTTGTCTCCATGAACATCACTGTCAACAACACCACTATCATGGATCACAACCCCAATATTGGCTTACTCAGAAAAGAAGTTATGAAAGACAACCCAGGATCCTATGGCATGTAGATAAATGCTTTATTAAAGCATGTTCACAAATGCCTTGGGAAGCAACGAAACTGACCACTACTCTCAAATATATAGTGACCCACTACAGGTGGGCAACAAAGTACTAAATCAGCCACCATCTACCATAGCACATTTTTCTCACCTGCCCTGGATTGATAAAGCTAATTTAGTACATTGCATCCATATTCAACACCAAATGTTTTAAATAAAGATTCTTTATGATTTATAATTGAATATTTGCACTGTTCGGAGCAGTGTCTTTATTGTCATATTTGTAACGTTTCGGACATTGTACACTCCAGCCTTCTTCAGGTGATATATGGTGAAATTCCAATGTATGTAACCTGGTGCATACAATGTCTGAAATGTTATTAATAGCTCATCTCAGGAATACAGATAT